GCAGACAGTCACAAAATGTGGTTCCATGGTGTAATTCTTAGCACTCTGGACTTTGAATGGCATTTTACACCTTGCCTAGGGACTACAGTTGGAAACTAGCTGTTAGCTAATACTGACACATTTACAGCAATGTTGATTAATGTGTAACGTCCCTATTCAAATAAACTATTAAAAAAAAAAAAAAAAAAAAAAAGAATCCGGTGATGAGTTGAAATCTCTGTGGACACTCAGTCACACTTCTTTTTCCTTAGTACGAACTGGTTTCAATTGTCGACCTTTAAGAAAGCTGGACCCCTGAATTGTATCTAGAAAACATTTCTGAGTTCAAATCTTGGTGGAACCTAAATCTACCTTTGATGACAGTTCTCACTTTGCAAGACAGTTGGACCCCTTAATCAAAATTGGAAAACAATATTAAGTCCAGCGTTTGTGTTTCTTTTTTATAATAAAACAATTGTGAAGTGTGGTTCCATGGTGTAATGGTTAGCACTCTGGACTCTGAATCCAGTGATCTGAGTTCAAATCTCGGTGGAACCTCATTTTCATTTGCCTACCAAAACCAGAAAGATGGATCCCAGAACTGTAACTTGAATAAATGTCCCAGTTCAAATCTCGGTGGAACCTCAGTCTCACTTCTCTGCTGAAAGCTGGACCCCTGAATTGTATCTAGAAAACATTTCTGATTTCAAATCTTGGTGGAACCTAAATATACCTTTGATGACAGTTCTCACTTTGCAAGACAGTTGGACCTCTTAATCACAACTGGAAAACAATATTAAGTCCAGCGTTTGTGTTTCTTTTTTATAATAAAACACTCTTAAAATGTGGTTCCATGGTGTAATGGTTAGCACTCTGGACTCTGAATCCAGCAATCTGAGTTCAAATTTCGGTGGAACCTCGCTTTCATTTGCCTATCATAACCCTTTAACACTAGGAGCGCCCCTAGTGGTCAACTGACCGTCACTCACTTTAATATGCTAATTAGTGTATTCAAAACAAAACGCCAGAAGTTGAAATTTTATGACTTTTAATGGGTACTTGTTGTTTATATTTTGGTGTGTTTTGGTTTTGGAAAAAGTAAAGAAAACAAGATTTACAAGCATTTTAACTTTTCTAAACCACAGCCCTTTCTGCTGCCCCATAGGGATACATAGCGCAGGGGCGACTGTTGTAATAGTAACCTTTCCCGGGGGTTTTTCGCGCCTTATACAAATGTATCAATATGTTGTCATTAGACTCTAAAGGGACTTGATTTTTTTAATTATTATTTGGGAGAGAAAGAGTTTTGAATTGAGAGGTGCAAGTACTCGGTATGAAGCCCTGACAGTGCTTCAAGACATTGAATGAGAACAGTCTGACGGAGGTGAGATGTCACATTTTGAGGTGGAAAGTGACAGCGGGGAGAAACACCTATAATATTCTAAATCTGAACGTAAACCCAAAGTACATTCACGGCACGGACAGCAGTGTTACAAGTCCAGAAGCAATAATCACATGAGCGTGCGTAACGCCAGCCATACGCAGGTGTCTGTGTGCACGCTGTCGCTCCATTCTGCCTTTTCATTCATCATCAATTACATTATTATATTTATACATAGAAGAAGGCAATGAAGCAGAATACAATATTGTAATAAAATAGAACAATTAGATGAACTATCAAGGCAGAGTGCAGATAGAGCGCTGTGAGGCCTCTCGTCACCCGCGGACACTGCAGGAGGAGAGCGACTGTGGGGCAGAAGCGGCCCTCATATCATATCAATAGGGATATCATTCTTATTTCATCCAGATAACACTGTGTGTTATTCTGCACAGCGCGCACTGCAAAGCAATGATTATAATTTTGTTCTGATCATAAAGAGCACTGCTTGTCTCAAATAAATACAAATATATATATATTTGTCTTTCTAACGTGTCCCGTGTAAAATTGAAGATTTTACATTGACGATGGTAGCCTCGCTGATGATCTTGTGTCAATACGAATACTATTATTATTATCTAGATAATATTTCCCACGGTGATTTCGGCTGGAAAGAGAAAACATTCTGGAGATGACGTAAGAAGTAGACGCATATAGCAGCGCGAAGACGTTATGGTCCCGTGCTTTTCTAAACTATCATTTATATTGTTTGAATTTACATATTGTTACTGAGTCAATTTAATATATAGTGACCAACCTTTTAGGTGTTTCCAAAGTAACAAAATAAATCTAGCCTGAAAAGTTAACTAATTTTGATGGATCAGTACACGCACAATGTGTCGTCTTAGTCTTTTATTTCGGCTAGAATTACAATTACTTAGCATATTTAGACAAATAATTTACAGTTTCATTATGATCACGATTTCCTTGCAACATCAAGTTCTGGTTTAGTGAACAATCAATTTGGCAAAAGGCTCTATCAGCGCAACATACATAGCGGTCAACTGACCGCAGGGGGCGGTGCAAGGTATGTTTAGAGCACGGCGGTCCTAGTGTTAAGCGCCAGAGATTTTTTTCCAAAACGCTCGATTTTGACATCTTAATTTCAAAAGGCTATAACTTAAAAGTGATAAGAGATAAAGGCTTTCTGTAAATTGGAAAAATATTAAGGATGGTCCAAAGTTTATGTAGGGAATAAATCCCCCCATCTAATTTGCATATTATGACGTCATTTGGCGTTAGAAATAGTGGATTTTAGAATGTTCATACAATATTTGTATTTTTCTAACTGACAGACATTTATTGATCACTAGGACATGAACACACACAGAACACACACTGTAACATTGTAAATGTTCATGAAAATAGTAAAAAATACAAATCATGCTGCTGCTGTGAGCAGTCTGCCCAGACGCGCGCCTCCAGGTGAAGCGCGTCACCGCGACCCTCCTGCTGCAGATGTCTCCCCCACTCTCTCTCTCATCTCCCCTGATCTCTCTCTCGTCTAACACACACAAGACAAAGCTTCTCCAACGCGTTACTGTCCCGGTGATTACGGGAGGCATGAAAATAAATATGTGGGAAGCACTTTTAGCGGAGACTTTAGCAGAAACTTCAGTGGAGGCGGAAGGTCGCTGCGCGGCGCCCCGACGCGAGTTCCAGGCTTGTTTTCCGCAAATCTAACCTGTCTCCGAACCTCCCAATGACTTGGCCTTACTCTGAGAAACACTGTTCCCACTGCAAACCCTTTACAAAGTGTCTAAAGTTAGTGTTTGGTGCGCTATAACACTCGCAAGCAGCCTCGCAGCTGCATCGCTTCACAATGATTTCTGCACTGGTTCAACGCGGTCTTGCTCGAATATTTTGTATGGGAGTGTAACCATTGGAAAATGTACTTTATTTTTTATTGTTTGAACTTCACCAAATCCTGTTATTTTATTTCTATCCTAATGTTTATGGCACATTTTTAGCCCTTTTTGTATGTTCCCATTCAAGTTGCACATTATCCTGCACTGTCCCTTTAAGAGAAAGGTGTTTCGTTTGCTGCACCCTAGTGCCGCCCTCAGTCTGCGCCTAGCGTCTGAGGAGGTGGGTCACAATTTTCACTTGTCATGATTCGGTTTCAATAATTAGAAAGCTTATTTTTATATCCAAATTAAAATGTTATTTTCTGTTCTTTCAAATCCAAATGTAAGTCAGAGCCATATGAATACATGTTTTGAGTCAGTAGTAGTAGTTTATGTAGTCACATGTGAGAGCTAGCTTAAATTTTCCATGTGTTTGCTACTAACAGGGGACTGCGAGCTGTATGTGTGTGGAGACAGAGACCATGAGGATTTGTGTTTTCTTTTATTTTGTGCAGGTATGTGCAACGCAATATTGTTATTGTTGGTGAAATTGTTGTATTTTTTTGGTCTGTACTGTATACTGTGCTGAGTCTGCGCCTAGCGTCTGAGGAGGGGACTTGCGAGCTGTATGTGTGTGGAGACAGAGACCATGAGGATTTGTGTTTTCTTTTATTTTGTGCAGTCTGAGCCTCGCGTCTGAGGAGTACTGCAGATAAAGTCAGCCAGTAATCCTACCTGTGTCGTCGTGGTCCTTTATCAGCCAGCGCAGATCAAGAACAGAACACAACGCAGAGTTCATCTATCAAAAGGGTTAACGGGTGTGCACCGAGAGTGTATTAAAACTCACAGGCACCCGTTACAATGGTGCCGTGACCTTTTAAGGATTGATTCAAGTTCGACGCCAGCTCGTTCGCCGTGGGAAGCTGCTGTCACACCCTGGACGGTACACGGGTGTCACTACACTGGACTGTGCTGTTTGGTTTACATGTTGTTACAGTAGTGTTCAGGATTTTTTTTATTGTACCTGTGCATTTTTGTGAATAATGGCAGAAGGTACCACATATTCTGTTGAACGAGAGGATGAGGGAGCAGACAGTGTCCCTTTTGATTTCCAGTTTGGTGTGGGTAGGGGCCTACGTAATAGGACCCCAGTCGCCAGGGCACCGGGAAATGGGGATACTGTACTAGCTAGTCCACAATTTTCCTCAACACGTTTTGTGGACCGTGTGATGCCAAGTCAAGTTGATCAGAGTCCGGACTTGAGTGTACTCATAACACAACTAGCTGATAAGATTGGCGAATCTATCACTGCTAAGTTACAGTCTGACAGATGCACGCAGGGTGCGACTAGAGACGCAAACTTTTATTCACAGCCACCTGACATGACTTCACCTAACGTTAGTTTTGTTATGCATTCTGATGTCAAGGAACCGCCCATTTTTAGAGGTGACGGTTCAGACAAGTTTTCTGTCCACGAATGGGAAAATCTTTTGACTCTGTTTTTGAGAAAGCGTAATGTTCCCCTGCAAGAACAATCATTTGAGATTTTAGCCAAACTTATGGGCAAGGCTGGTGACATAGTACGAATTAAGCTACGTAATGACAAAACTATTGACCATGCTGCTAATCCCCAAGTTATTTTTGACATTTTAAAACAACACTTCAGTGAAATGTCCTACTCTAGCATGCCCCTAGCAGACTTTTACAATACTCTACCACTGTCCAGCGAGGACGCTATGGAGTACTGGATAAGATTAAACAAGACAGTGGATGTTGCGAGTGAGTGTTTGAGGAGACAAGGTCGTAGTATTGAGGACCCAGCCCATGAGGTCACTATGATGTTTGTCAAACACTGCCCTGATCAATCTCTGTGCAATGTGTTTAAGTACAAATCAGCGGATAAGTGGACTGCCGGTGAGATCCAAGAGCGGCTGGATGAGCATCTCCAGGAGAGGAAGTCCCGTGCCATCACAATGAGGTCACAGAGGCCAGGCTCTGCTGTTTACCGGGCGCAGTCCCAATGTGTGCCTAATATCGATGCTTCTGGGGCAGATGAGGTGCTGCCACAGATGCATTTTCCACCTCCTGTTGCGCCACCTATGGCTTCTGCCTTTGATGCGGACTGTATGAAGAGATTGGTGTGTGCTTTGGACAGGTTGGTTACTCAGCAGACACAGGTCCCTGTCAACTTCAGCCCTCCCACTGCCCTGCCCCAGCCCCCTAAAAGAGCATGCAGAGTTTGTGGCACAAATGATCATTCAACACTGTCCCACTGCAAAAGGGAGAACAGGTGCCTCAAATGTTTGTCTCCTGGTCATTGGAAGAAGGATTGCCCTGTGCCTGGCAACCAGTATCGTCCTCATCCCTCCACTGCTCCCAGTCCACAGAACCAGACTTTAAACGGTTAGACTCACATCTAGCGAGGGACGATGTGAGTGACGTGGTCAAAACCCTCTCTCAAGACAATCTGGCAGAACTTTACAGTGACATTTGTGCAAAGGCGCCTAAGGGGACTCAAATAGTGGTTCAGTGCACTCAGAAGGTCCAGGCATTTGGGGAGTTGTTTTATACTCCAGTACAGGTTAACGGCAGTGTTACGCTCAGTGGCATGTTAGATTCCGGTTCTATGGCTTGTAGCATGAGTGTTAGCGCTGTTGAGAAACTTAGAGCTGCTGGTGTGTTGCCGGATAAGCAAATGCCTGCTGAAAATGTGATTCTAGTCGGTTGTGGTGGCCTCCAAACACAGCCTGACGGTTTCTTTGATTTGGAAATGCGATTGTATGGCGCGCACATCAAGGTTCCCACATTGGTAGTGCCTGGTCAGCATGACGATCTCATTTTGGGTTCCAATGTCTTAAAACACATACTCCATGTGATGAAAGGGGGTAGTGACTATTGGAATATTGCGTCTAAACACAACCCAATGTTAGATCCAGAGATTGACCAATTTCTGTCCATGTTCACTAATGTGGAACATTGGAAAGGTAGTGCTGTTCCGGACAGGATAGGTACGGTTAAACTCACTCAGGCTGTTACTTTGCTGCCGAGACACGAGCATTTAGTCTGGGGTAGACTTCCTGCTAATGTTCCTATGTCCCCGGGTAGTACTGTTATGGTGGAGCCGACTATGTCAAAAGCTATGCCACGTAGTGTTTTAGTAGGTCGCCTGGTTACACCTCTCTGGGGGGATAGGTGGGTGCCTATGATGGTAGTTAACCCCACTGACAAGCCCATCACACTGAAAAGAAACAGCAAACTGGCGGATGTTTCGCCTTGTTTGGCCATAGAGGACTTTGATGTGTTCCAGGGCCTCCAAACAGCCACAAATAGCCAGCGTGAGGACTCAACCAGTAACAGTGGTGCTTCTCGCACACCCAGTGACGTGGACAACCTAGCCAAGTGCCTGTCTGATTTAGGTTTAGGAGATATTGACATGGACTCATGCCTGGTCTCTGACACTTGCAAGTTGGAACTTGCACAGCTGCTAATTGAGTATCAGGATATTTTCTCTAAACATTCATTGGACTGCGGTGAGGTTCAGGGGTACACCCACCGCATTCGGCTCACTGATGATCGCCCTTTTCGCCTGCCTTACAGGAGGGTGCCCCCGGCGCACTATCAAAAACTGCGACAGGTGCTTGGTGACATGGAGGAACGAGGTATTATCAGGAAATCCACCAGCGAATATGCCTCTCCTTTGGTCATGGTGTGGAAAAAGGACGGTGGGTTACGGATCTGCACTGACTTTAGATGGTTGAATGCCCGCACCCTGAAAGATGCCCACCCCCTCCCTCACCAGGCTGACTGTTTGGCTGCGCTCGGTGGTAATTGTCTGTTCAGTACAATGGATTTAACATCTGGATTTTTCAATGTGCCTCTGCAGGAGGAGGACAGGAAATACACTGCTTTCACCACTCCCCTCGGGTTGCATGAATACAACCGCATGCCACAGGGCCTGTGCAACAGCCCTGCGTCTTTCATGAGGATGATGATTGGTATATTCGGGGACATGAACTTTTCAAAACTCCTTTGTTACCTCGATGATCTCCTCGTTTTTGCTCCTTCAGAGAGTGAGTCCCTTTCAAGGCTTCGTACTGTATTCCACAGACTCAGGGACAATAACTTGAAGTTGGCCCCCAAAAAGTGCCACTTTTTGAAGGAAAAAGTTGGATTCCTTGGCCATGTTATTGACTGCAGCGGAGTCTCTGTGGACCCTTCAAAGGTCGAGGTGATCACTAGTATGACTGTCGGTGATCTCATGGAGGCTGATGGCAGCACGCCCTCAGTCCGCCGCATAAAGTCGTTCCTTGGTATGGTTTTTTATTACCAGCATTTCATTCCCAACTGCTCTGCGATAGCAAAGCCATTGTTCGCACTAACTGCTGGTCAGAAGAGGAGAGGAAAGTCTGCTTTGTTCAAAAAGTCACAGGGTACTTTCCGCAAACTTACCCCTGCAGACTGGAATGATGGGTGTGCCGAGGCCTTTGAGAGTTTGAAGACCATGCTTCTGGAGTGTGTTGTGCTTGCTCATCCCAACTTCGACGACCCTTTTGTCCTATCTACTGATGCATCTTTGGATGGCCTTGGCGCAGTGCTTTCTCAAGTCCCCAAGGGTGAGACTAAAGCCAGACCCATTGCTTTTGCGAGCAAGACCCTCAGTGCATCGCAGAGCAGATACCCAGCTCACAGACTTGAAATGTTGGCTCTGAAATGGAGTATTTGCGAAAAGTTTAGTCACTGGCTGAAAGGGCGGAGTTTCACTGTGTGGACGGATAACAATCCGCTAACATATCTCTTGACAAAACCTAAACTTGATGCATGCGAAATCCGCTGGGTGTCGAAGCTTGCGTCCTATTCCTTTGAGCTCAAACATTTGTCAGGAAAAGTGAATGTGGTAGCAGATGCACTTAGTCGCGACCCCTTTGCAAAACCAGTCGGTCAGAGGCTTTTGTCAGAGCCCTATTCCACACTAGTTCAGGAAGCGGATGAGATAGGTGAGCGGTCTGTGCAAGATGTTTTCAGAGTTAGCTGCCAGTCACAAGTTGCATGTGATGAGGCTGAAGTAAGGGCGCTTTGTCAGTTTCATAGTGAGTGGGTCAGCGCTACGGAGGCCAGAGCAGTTAGTCTTGCTCAGCATGTCCAGCAGCTATCTTCAGGTCAGGATGCTCCCCCTATATTGTCTACCTCAGAGCTACTGTTAGGTCAACGACAGGATCAGATTATATCTCAGGTATTGCCCTTTGTCACAGCCAAGAAGAGACCATCTAGACGTGAGAGGTTTGGGGTGGAGCCCCAGGTGCTTAGGCTCTTGAAACAGTGGGACAGGTTAGTTGTCCGTGATGGGGTATTGTACAGAGTGGCACGTGATTCCTTGTCCAAACAAAAGCGATTCCAATACGTCTTGCCGCACAATCTCAAAGACAAAGCGCTCTCTGGACTCCATGACATGGCTGGCCATCAGGGCCAGGACCGCACTCTTTCTCTGACGAGACAACGTTTTTATTGGCCAGACATGGAGAGAGATGTGCGTGAATATGTGAAGTGTTGCCCCAGATGTGTGGTTGGTAAATCTCCTGAACCTTCTGCCCGGGCTCCTCTTGAGAGCATCAAGAGCTCCGCTCCAATGGAGTTAGTTTGTATTGATTTTTGGTCAGCAGAAGACAGCAAGCAAAGATCTGTGGATGTCTTAGTGGTTACTGACCATTTTACAAAGCTAGCCCATGCATTCCCTTGTGCCAATCAGACTGCCAGACAGGTTGCGGTGAAACTCTGGGATAATATCTTTTGTGTCTATGGCTTTCCCGAGAGGATCCATTCGGACCAAGGCACAAATTTTGAGAGCAATTTGATTGCGGAGCTTCTCAGATTGGCGGGTGTTGCCAAGTCCCACACCACGGCATACCATCCTATGGGGAATGGGGGCACGGAACGGTTCAACCGCACTTTGGGTAGTATGCTTCGGACGCTTCCCCTCAAAGAGAAGCAGCAATGGCCCCAACAGATTCGTAGCCTCACATTTGCTTACAATGCTACTGTCCATGAAACCACTGGCTACGCGCCATTTTTTCTAATGTTTGGCCGTGTCCCAAGATTGCCAGTCGACATTATGTTCAAGCAAGTGCTGAGTGACACATCTGTTATGGACTATGACTCTTATGCTGTTTCGTTGATTTCTTCTCTCAAGAGTGCGATGGATATTGCCCAGAAACATGCATCCTTTGAACAACAGCACCAGGCCACCCAATACAATAAACGAGTGAAGGGCACTTACCTGTCTGTTGGAGATCGTGTGTTGATTGCGAATAAAGGAGAAAGAGGGAAACGGAAACTTGCCGATAAGTGGGAAAGTAAAGTGTACACCGTGATTGATACAAACCCCAACATTCATGTTTACAGAATCAGTGATGCAGAGGGGAACGAAAGGGTTGTACACAGGAATCTTTTGCTCAACGTGAACTTCTTACCACTCTCCGAGATTTGTAACGAGTCCAATGACACAGACCTCTCACTTGTCAGTGACGATTCGGCTGTTGACAGCCCTGACAATGACACTGTGACTAATGAATCAGGGACACTCCTGCCTACTGCGGAGCAGACCTTTCCTGTTGACTTGCTTCCCCACAGATGCCCAAATGACTGTATAGTTGACTCAGTTTTGCCAGACCATAACTCTCTTTCTGACGAGCATACAGTGGCTTTAGTTCCCCCTGACTCCGACGTGGATGTGGAGGGTGGTACTGAAGCGAGAACCCGTGCAGGGAGGTTAGTGAGGTCAGTGAACAGGTTGATCGAGTCCATGGTTCAGGTACCTTATTTCAAGTCTCCGCCGGCTTTGTTTGGTGGTGACACTCGGCCTGTTTTTGTGGCCTGAGAGTTTTATTTTGTGTAATCTTTTTTTTTTGCTATTGGTTATGTTTTGTGATGCAAATGTCCGTGTGAGCATTTTTAAGTCCAAGCACTGTGTGACGTACAAGGCGCCACATTTACCTAGGGGGATATTGAGACTTGATCAACCTTTTTATTTCCTGAACCTTGTATGTATGAGGTGACTGTTCAGTCGGGTTATGGACTAGGTCCATTCATTGCTTGTGACGGACGGATTGTTGGACGGACATCCTCCCTGGTGTCCTTTGGGACTACGCTCAGGATGTTGGTGAATTTCAGGAGGGGTAAATGTAACCATTGGAAAATGTACTTTATTTTTTATTGTTTGAACTTCACCAAATCCTGTTATTTTATTTCTATCCTAATGTTTATGGCACATTTTTAGCCCTTTTTGTATGTTCCCATTCAAGTTGCACATTATCCTGCACTGTCCCTTTAAGAGAAAGGTGTTTCGTTTGCTGCACCCTAGTGCCGCCCTCAGTCTGCGCCTAGCGTCTGAGGAGGTGGGTCACATTTTTCACTTGTCATGATTCGGTTTCAATAATTAGAAAGCTTATTTTTATATCCAAATTAAAATGTTATTTATGTTCTTTCAAATCCAAATGTAAGTCAGAGCCATATGAATACATGTTTTGAGTCAGTAGTAGTAGTTTATGTAGTCACATGTGAGAGCTAGCTTAAATTTTCCATGTGTTTGCTACTAACAGGGGACTGCGAGCTGTATGTGTGTGGAGACAGAGACCATGAGGATTTGTGTTTTCTTTTATTTTGTGCAGGTATGTGCAACGCAATATTGTTATTGTTGGTGAAATTGTTGTATTTTTTTGGTCTGTACTGTATACTGTGCTGAGTCTGCGCCTAGCGTCTGAGGAGGGGACTGCGAGCTGTATGTGTGTGGAGACAGAGACCATGAGGATTTGTGTTTTCTTTTATTTTGTGCAGTCTGAGCCTCGCGTCTGAGGAGTACTGCAGATAAAGTCAGCCAGTAATCCTACCTGTGTCGTCGTGGTCCTTTATCAGCCAGCGCAGATCAAGAACAGAACACAACGCAGAGTTCATCTATCAAAAGGGTTAACGGGTGTGCACCGAGAGTGTATTAAAACTCACACGCACCCGTTACAGGAGCATGACGTTTTTTGGGGCCAGGGAGGTAGTTTGACATGTCTGCCAACTAGTGGCAGGGAGTATGAATGAATGTTTACACTCAGTTGGTCACACTCGGCCGTTTTTAACAGTAGCGCAGCTTGTCGACCGTGGCGCCTAGAGGGTTAACCAGAAAGCTGGATCCCTGAACTGTGACTTGAATAAATGTCCCAGTTCAAATCTTGGTGGAACCTCAGTCTCACTTCTCTGCTGAAAAGTGGAAACCTGAATTGTAACAAGAAAATATTTCTCAGTTCAAATCTCGTTGGAACCTATATCCACTTTTGATGACAGCTCTCATCTTGCAAGACAGTTGGACCCCTCAATAAAAACTGGAAAACAATATTAGGTCCAGCGTTTGTGTTTATTTTTTTTATGAGCAGAGTTGAAATCTCAGTGGAAATACAGTCTCACTTTTTTTTCTTTAGTACATCCTGCGTTCTATGGGTTCCATGGTGTAATGGTTAGCACTCTGGACTTTGAATCCAGTGATCCGAGCTCAAGTCTCGGTGGAATCTCAGCCTCATTTGCCTGCCTTTACCAGAAAGCTGGACACCTGAACTGTAAGTTGAACAAAATTCAGAGTTCAAATCTCAGTGGAACCTCAGCCTCAATTGTCAAACTTTAAGAAAGCTGAATCTCTGAATTGTAACTAGAAAATATTTCCAAGTTCAAATCTCGGTGGAACCTCTCTCCCACTTTTCTGCTGAAAGCTGGAACCCTGAATTGTTCAAATCTCAAAAGGAACCTCAGCCTCATTTCCAAATCTCCAATGCGCGGTCTGAGAATTAATTCCCTGAAGAAGTCCTTTGGATCAAGGACGGGAAAACTTGCTAAGAAGTACAGATGATGGGTGAGAAACCTTCCTTTGCTTTGACTTTTTATCTGATACCTCTTCGTCATGAGGACAGAAGACGACGATGGCCAGCGGCAATCAACCAAAAGCACTGGGAGCCATCCATGTACTCCCAAATTTTCAGTGAACACTTATTCCAAGATAAATCAATCACAATTTAGTATTTTGTGATCACAATTTTATTTAAAGCTGCACTAACTGACTTTATTTTTGTATTCATTACAAAAAAGCTATCCATGTCCATGCAGTGCATTGGGATATACGTCCTTTTGAAGAAAAAGTCGCAGATTTGTGCTGGCGTGACATTATATTTTAGATCGTGTTTTGATGAAACAAGAAACGTGTTTCGGGTCGCAGATTGTGACCAATCACAGCGGACCACTAGCCCCCACTTTCGTGAGAAATCTACAGGTCTGTTAGCATAGACGGCTGAATTAGCACAACAAGCCGAGGAGCTAACCTGAAGCTTCCTCGTCTTCGTCACCGGTTACTGCTTACACAGCGAGACAGCCATCCAAAAGAAAGTCTTGTTCCTCTGCACTTCCCGGTTCTATCGTTCTATGGTCACACGCATCCACGTGTAAATCCATGTCCATGTATTATCCATATTGGGAGACGCTAGCTCCGTCCCAACAGTGGGTGTGTGTGGGGGGCGATAGCTTCGTGGGTGCGGGGAGGGGAGCAGAAAGAGAGAGGCCAGCAGGTCCGCGGCTTCAAAATCCCAAAGTCAGTTAGTGCAGCTTTAAGTAGGACAAGATGTATTTCAATCTGTGAAGCGCTTTGTGATCCTGGTCTGTGAAATGCGCTATATAAATACACTTTACTTACTTACTTAATTACTTACTGTCACCGAAAAAGTGATCCATGGGTGTCCAAACATTTTAGTGAGAGGGCCACATTAAATCACCAGACTTGTCCAGGGGCCGACATCATGACTGGCATTGGGCTGTTCTGAGCTTTAAAATGATCTATAAGGGAAATGAAGTTGGCTGAATGACAAATGTTTACCATCTCACCATCTCACAAGTTAACGGCTGAATTTCAGACGTACTGGGCTTTAGAACAAGTCACCTCATGTCTATATTGGCTGAGCTGAAGTTGGATGGATGACACAGTGAACTTGTGTTTATGATCTCAAAGACAACTTCTACTTTGGGTTAGCAAGGCAGAGGGCCACATAACATGACCCTGAGGGCCGCAATTGGCCCCCGGGCCTGAGTTTGGACATGCCTGACGTAATCGAACAAGTGCTTGAAGAAGCCCTGTCTCGATTTAGTAGAGGAGTCTCAGTTTTTAAGAGTTGTAGTGTGTTTTGCTCTCGCCGCAATGCTAGTTTCCACTACTTCCGCCGTAAGCTCATTCACAATCACTTGACTGGATGACGTTGATGCATCTGGTCAATACAAAAATGAATTTATTTGAAATTGAGTTGAATCAAATTGGATGGTGTCTTATGATTGCTTTGAGGTTTGTATATCTCATTTACATTTTGATTACAACATGTCTGACTGGAAGTAAACAAATGCATTATGTCTGATTAGAAGAGGAAATATAACACATGATGCATATCTGAAGAAACTGTTAAACATTTTACATTTAAAAGCTGAGGAATTTTCAAAGCACATCAAATAAAACTATGTAACGCAATCCAAGTAACAAGTTCCTCAGTCTAACAATTTAGCCTCATATCAGACAATTCTTTATATAATCTTTTTCAGACCAAATGACAACTCCTCAATCAGCACTCAACCTAAAGAGTCAACTGCTGACAAACAGGGCTCTTTCTCACAAGTATGAAAAGATAACATAGTTTTGAGGTTTCAAAACCTCAATGTTCACAATGTTTTACTTATATAAAGCTCTTTCTGAAAAGTCAATTTGATCATAAGCGAGCATGAGGTCATTTCCTTGGGCATTTGGCCAATATCAAAATAATTATTATTATCAAATTGGGGTACCAGCTTTATGAACTAAACCACGGATTTTTTTTTAAAGCCAAAATGGTGAGTGTGACACAAACTGTTAGAGGAGATTACTTCTAATGTAAGTTAATTGGATCCAAGGCGAGTTGGAGCAAAGCTTTTGCCATCGGGTTTTATTGAGCTAGCAGTATAGAATTTTAAATCTATAGTCTATAGGACAAACACAATGTTTATGCCCTAAATTAGTTTTTAGAGATCTTTTATTTGTCCCACAGTGAGGAAACCTCAGTTTGGTACCCCAGCTTTAACTGGGAAATGCCATGACAAACAAAGTAGCTGCAATAAATACCAACTGAGAAGGGGTGTATGGTACCTTTCAGTAAATCTTGTTTGACCATTATAAATGAGAGCAGTTACGGGCAGTGGAGCCGAGCCAGAGGCGGAGGGGTTTTCCATTCACTGGACAAATGAACAGTGCGACAGGACGGCCCACGGGCAGCACCAGCACATTGCATCATTTAAGTGATGAGGCCCAGCTGTCAAGTGTTACAGTGAGGAGTGGAGCCGTTTGGACTCTCCAAGAACACTGGTGCAACATCTACAGTACAGTACATGCTTTGTTAATCAACTTAACTACAAAAGGTTGATGAGAAAAGTCAGTAATGCATATATTGGGGTGAAAGTAATGTTAATAGAACCATGTAATCATTACCTCGCTCTCAAAAGAGTTTGTTGTGATCACTTGTCTTCACCTTCCCGTGTCACATTTTCAGACAGAAAAGTGAAAAAGAAATCGTCTTCACTCAGCCAATCAACTCTCACCCGAAGTGTCAAATAGTGGCCCAAGCTTTGAATGTTTGAAAAAGTAAAAAAAAAAGGACAAAAATTTTCGAAATTGCTACGTTCACCCCTTTTGCAGGTGGTTATCCCTCTCTAAACTCCTCAAGGCCAAGGATCTTTATCTTTGCTGTGCCTAGCACTGCACACTTTGGACCATGATTTCTGAGGTTGTTCCAGGGATCTGCTGCAACCACTCCTTCAGCCTTTCTGGTCACTGCCCCGGGT